CTTCTGTTAACTCGTAGGACAAGTTCTGCTGAACACAGATACCAAGTCTGAGGAGTTAAACAGTTCTATCTAGGTGCAAATATTAAAGCAGTAAGTAAACGACACCAGTGATTTTTATAGTGGTTCAAGGAACAACTTGTTCCTCTAGTCCACTGTTCCACTAAGCTGTAAAAACTTCCGTTTACAAAGCCTTAGTCCTAGCACTTAAGAAGCACTCCACGTCTTCTTCAAGTTTAGATATCTCCTGGGATGCACTGCCTGGCTTCCTTTAAGACTGGTCCTTTCACTGAGTTTCCTTGAAGTATCACCACTTCACTACTCCAGTTACTTGGACGTCTTTCTTGTAGCAAGAAGAGTTTCTGTTGAAACTGGGGTTCCTCCAACTAGCTTCGTTACAAAAGATTTGTATGTGATGAGCTTGAAGAGTTGAAGAACACTTGGAACTTTGCTTGAGTTGGAAAAAGTATTTTTCCAACTTCTGCCTTCTCTTGTAGAAGATCATGAGTTTGAATCTCAAGGAGGCTTTTTGCTTTTTCAGAGTTTGAATATCTTGTTTTTAGCAATGGTTAGCAAAAGTTGCAAAGTTATATGGTTGTTCTTCGTAGTGTATCTTTTATACTGAGGTTGTCTTCCCGTTGGAGGAGTAGGAGGACAACTGCATTAAATGAGCGATCAGTTGACTTGACTAGTAGAGCCCGGTAAAGTTGGCGGGTTACTATTTTGGGATAAAGTATTCCTGACATTGCGGCCAATCATCTGCAATTACTCTACGTAGCATGGGGTGCATTAAATGAGCATTTAATGCGTGCACTGTAGCTTTTCCGTTTCATACTCCTAGTCGTTGAAGGAATCTTTTAGTTGACTTCCCGGTTCAGTGAAATTCTTCTAAGTGTCAGACCTTCTGGTGTCTTTATCTGAGAGTAGAACAGAGGAGGTCTGGAGCACTTCTGTTGAGAGAATGTCCAACAGAGACCCAGAAGGGTTTCTGTCAGAGTAAAGACTAACAGAGACCCTGAGGTCTTCTGTTCTGGAGCAGAGAACCAAAGGTCCTCTGTTTCAGTAATGCCTTACGAGGCTCTTCTGCTCTTGGAGCCCTTCTACTCAGAAGGTCTTCTGCTCTGAAGGCATTCTGTCAAGTCGATTACTCTAAGAACTTTACAAAGGAAAAAATTCTAATACATAATTTCTAAAGGGGTACTCTAAAGTCCTAATTAATCTAGCATCATCAAAATCTAAATACAATTATTCCTTACAGCTTCTCCTGGTCATCTTTATTTGATGGCTTGGACTTCTTATAGACCTCTCGGTCACACGTCTCGGTCACTTTATTTGATGATCCAGACATTATATTATGGACGGTCACTCGACCTATCTCTTAGTCATCTTTATTTGATGACTAGGACTACCTATCATGTCGAGCTACGCACATACGAGGACCGATCTTGGTTATCCCCTTAGCGGATGCCGACAGTTGCAATTCCACACCCAGGCTGAAGAGTTCACCACTTTTGCTTCATTTTGGGGGCATCCAGTGTACTCTTTTTCCCTCATTAGGATTTTTTCCCACATGATTTTTTCCTAATGAGATTTTTAACGAGGCATCTCCCCAATGTGGACAAAAGGTGTCGACCCTCGGTCCCTATTGAAGACATCACGAGACATGCACCACTCTACTCCTATTCACCTCACTACAATCACCTCAAGGAGTGGGGGACTGGAAGAGCGGGGGACTTCGCGCCTCAAATTTTTTCACGAAGTATACTCACCAGACGACGACAGATCAGCACACAGTTATACTCCCTTTCGCCTCGAGTACTCTCGACTCAGGGAGTGGGGGATTCCTGATAGAGTATATAGACTCGGACCCCCGGGTCTCACGACTATTGGGCCCGGACAGCGGCCCACTCACGCTTATCGGATGTCATTTATATCATTTGTATTATTGTAGAGTTCATATATCATTTGTATGTACTAGATTAGTCTTTTATGTAGTTAGGCTTATCAGACCCATATTAGCAGTCCGGCCCATTATTTGTCTATTTATACTCCCTTTGGGAGACTTGTAGCCCTAATTCCCAACTCTTAGAACATAACTTATACAACATTCCACTATTCATTCATCTTCTTCTCCAACTATCTAGCTCAACTCTCCATTTTATATATGTTTGGATACCCCATAATCCATCATTTGTAAATTAATTAAATCATTGTATGGATTGAAACAAGCCCCTAAACAGTGGCACGAAAAGTTTGATCATGCAATGTTAATTAATGAGTTTACAATAAATGAAAGTGACAAATGCGTCTATGTGAAGAGCACAGTAGACAGATATGTCATTTTATGTTTATACGTGGATGATATACTCATTGTGGGTAGCAATAATCTAATGACTAATTCTACCAAAAGCATGTTAAATTTTAAATTTGACATGAAGATATGTGGCTGACCGATTTAATCCTTAGGATTAAAATAATTAGGGGACCAGACGGTCTTACGCTAAGCCAATCTCATTACGTTGATAAAATCCTTACGAAATTTAATAATGATGATTATCAAGAGGCAAGGACTCCATTAGAAAAAAATGTACACCTTACCAAAAATCATGGAGAGTGTATTTCTCAAGTAGAATACGCTAGGATTATTGGAAGTGGTTTCGGATTTAGGGCAATTTTTTTAGTGGGGTCCACTTCCGATTTGGGTCGGCTCAAAGTGGTTTCGGATTGTCCTTGTTAAGGGCTACAATTCGATATGTGGTAGTGGTACACTCAAAACGGATAACGGGTGAATGAGAAATTGATTCTCGAAGTTCACTCATTGAAATTGAAAAACTGGGAAAATGATGGGTTTCTAGTGTGTTTTTATCCCACACCGGAAAACCCAAGGGATTTTCACCCCCTTATAAAGGGAACATTCTTTGAAGGAGTTAAGATTCCTATGGGGAAAGGCTCTCTTCGTGCGCGGGGGGGGTGCCGATCAAATCCCGAAAACGGAGAAGAAAAACCGCGACTCTTGTGCGCGGGCGACCTGCGGACACGAATGTCGTCCGAAAATCTATCACTCAAAGATATGATTTAATTTTTGCTTCTTCCCGTTACGGTTTCAGTTTTCCGAACCAGAAGACCTGAGCGTTTCTGGTGGCTTCTGAACAGAAGACCACAAGGGTGTTCTGGTGCCTTCCCAACAGAAGATCAGAGAGCACCTCTGGTGGGGTGTTCTGGTCGCACAGAGAGCACCTCTGTTGGGGTGTTCTGGTCGCACAGAGAGCACCTCTGCTTGGGTAATCTGGTCGCGCACCAGAACTACTCCAAGTCGTTACGGAAGTTAATGCCCAACGTTCTTATCTTTTAATGTAGCGTTAAATGGACGGTTTATGGACGATTCAATTCCCAACGCACTCGTCATTAATGTCCAACGTTCAGGTCCATTAACACTCAATTTAACACACAACAAATCCTCCTATAAATAGCTGGCAGGTGCTTTGCAACATAAAAATGTTCTTACACGTTCACAAGCAATCATACACGTATTTTCAGCTCGAAAACACCTCCAGCTCTCTGAAAAATTCCCGAGTGTTCTTCTTTGTTCCCGTTCGTCGAAACTTTCGTTTGTGTGCTCAAACGTTAGTTCGTTAGCCATCGTATCCTGGGAAATGGTTGTTGCAACGATCCTAGCATCGTGGGAGACGACGAATACGTTTTAAGGACATCGTGCATAGCACGAGCTCTGGCTAAATTTGTTCCATCTATTTTCTGTTTTCTTTAGTCATTTTAATTAATTAATTTTTATTAATTATTATTTTTTTGTTTTTCGAAACAGACCCAACACCATACACCTTGATGTGCTTACTTCCAAGGATATGATGATTTTGTATGCTTCTAGTATTATCTAGAGAAGACTTTGTATTGCACCTTTAATGATGATAGTGGATTTAAGCGGCCAAAATGGTCCCGTGGTTTTCCCCTAGTTTATGGGTTTTCCACGCAAAAATTCCGGTGTCTTTGTGTTGTTGTGTGCTTACTGTTTTAGCCAATTATATTGGTGTGTGACAGCAGTATTGTGTGTGTTCTAATTGCATTAAGAACACCCTATTTATTTGCATCCTCAAAAGTTCATTCAAGTTGGGAAAGTTTAGCCAAACGGAAATTTATTCCGCATTTTATTAGTTACTGGCTGTTTTTACCATCAACTATTTGGGAGGGTTCAAAAACAAAATCCTGTAGCCTAAGCACAGGAAGTATCAGAAAACATTTCATAGGAAGTTTCTTAATAAAAAGCAGAGCAATAGTTTGAGAGGAGGGAGAAAAAAGTGAGATTCATAACTTGACCTATTCGTAATTTCGTACTCGAGTTTTACGTTCATTAAGCTTAAACACACACACAAACATAGCATTCTTAACTACTTTGATTAGTGGACAGTCTCTTTCTTTATGACAGCACCATGAAGAAAGCATCCGATATTAAAAAGTCAGAAGTTGCAAGAGTTATTTTGTGCAAGAAGCATGGAGAGTTAACTGCTCAAAGCTGTGTGTTAAAGACCTATTGATGATTGGTAAAACCGTAGAAGTGTTCATCTGAAAGTTGATGAAATTGTGTTGAGCATACTGCGCCAGCAGTCCAGCATGGCAGCAGCCAGCAGGTAATCTGTTACTTTTGCATCTACACCATCTATTATCAGCGGTTTGATTATCATTACTACTTTCTTCTGGAGCTCAGATAAGGGTTCCAAGTCACTGAAAGTGAGCATGTATCATTTGTCAATTACTGGGTTCTTTATACTGAAAGATTAGATTTATTACTAGTGCGTAAATAGCTGCAGAAAAGAGTTTAGTTTTTATTTCTTACTTCTATCATGTGTAAATAAGTACAAAGACGAGAACTCGTGTAGTACTTCAATTATGTGTCTCTACACACATATAACTATATAAGTGATATAAAAATGTATAACGAGAATACGAGATATTCTCAATGATGTGTGGAGACAATTTTACATTTTTGGATTCTTTTTTATATTTCAAGTATGTTAAAATGAATTTAATGTTATTTCTTTTCCTTAACTATAAGTACATTAATCTTCAACAAATGAAACCAAATAAAAAAATGTCAAGAAATGAGCTTCAAGTGTATTGTTCATTGTTTGATGAATTACATAAATATATGCATAAATGAGATGCTCAGTAATAAGTACTAACATTGCTTTTTTAACCCCATCATGTTCTTGATCATGGTGGTTCAAGAGAACAGTTTGGTAAAGAAATTGCCTGAATTGGCTTTGTTCTGCACACAAGACACATGGGCATATCTTCCCAACTTGTCCACTTGTCTTGCTTCTCCCTCAGTATCCTTCTTGCAGATTTTACATGTTTTGTCAATCCACCCCTCTTCCACATACTGCCCATCCACTGGTGTCAAGAGCAGAATGGAATTCATGTTAAAACTGATAAAACAGGTGCACTCATATATTTTAATTTACTGGGTATTTCTTTGGATAGTATATGTGTAGTTTACCATCAACATAGGACTTGAAGAAATCTTTGTATGTGCCTCCAATCTTTCTTCTTAGAGCTCCATACTGCAAACAAAGTCAGGTAGTAATTAATAGTCCTCTTTGCCACTAGTTGCTTAATAAAAATGTTCTCCCCAAATCTACCTCACCAGGCTTTACAGAAATTGATAGTTTTCAAATATAATGATCATAAATATTAGGGAAAGGTTGAGTCTACCTGCCTCTTTGGTAACATCACTTTTCAGGCAACTTTTATTGATCAATAAACTTTCATTTCGTATTCTGAATTATAAATACTCAAAGAAAACTATTTTCGAATTTTTCCATACAAATTTCTCTTTGATTTGTTAATAAAATATATTCTAAATGCAACTTCAGGAGTTTCCTTAAACTCAACCAATTTAAGCATGATCTTACCTGTTCTTTGGACATTCTACCACCAGATTGAGTAGCCTCCTTAGCCTCTTCAAGAAGCTCGCCATCTTTCTCTGATCTAACCTGCGAAAAATCTAGTGCTTCTATCAAATTACTAAACAATTTGTTAGTTTCCTTCTTTTTAGTAGGCTCTTCATCGTCACTCCTCTCCTCTTTCTTCCCTGCAGAAACTATGACCAAAGATTTCTTGGGTCTTCTGCTGCTGCTGCTATGAACACTACTAAAGTTTGACAACAATTTTGCATACCCAATGTTGTGGGGGTACTGCAGGCCATTCTGCACAGGATTTAAGGGAAGTGCCCTTATGCCCATTTTTTGTTTCAATTATCTGCTGCGGTGAATGAGTGTTTTTCAGTTTTCAAGATTTCAGTTTCCCTTTTGCAGCGAAGTAAGATTGTGGGGGGAAGGTGAGTGAGGTGTTCTTTTTTTTGTTTGTGTGGAAAGAATTGCACGGTGAACACCGGCAAGAGTGACCGGTGGATTGGGGAAGAAGACGTGGCCCTCATGTGACTATTAAAATTCCAAAATGATAAATAAGGGGGAGTCAAATTAATATCGTCCCTTAAAACATTACAAGTTTTATAGTCACGAGAATTAATAAAGTAAAAATTGTTTGGTTGAAATTTATGTAGAGGAGAAAAAATTAACTGGAATCACAATTTTTTTACTTAAAAGGAATGTGTCAAAGTTAGTGGGACATCCATAAAAGGAAAGTTTACAAAGTTTTAGAAGACGGAGGAGGGAGTATGTTGAGTAATACTTAAACACTAAATTAAAAATACTTAATTCATCTTTAGTTAATTTACAACTAGGTTTCAAGCCCGTGCGATGCACAGGCGGTATGTAATTTAAAAGCAAAATAAACTTAGTATAAATATAGAGTCTGTTTGATAATACTAATATTGATGGAATCGGTTTATTTTGATGAAATTAATTAAATTCTAGCTGAATAGCTTGAATAGGTGAATATCCCGAATCATGAAACAAATTATTCCATTTGTTAAATAAATAAAAATTATATGAAAAATAGTATAAATAGAAATTGCTCTAAATAGGAGCAAAAACGTTTTGAAATTCCAAAATAGGAGTATCATGTTTTTTATTCCCTAAATAGGAGTAATCTGCCAAGTTTGGAAAAGAATGTCATGTTTTAAAGCCTAGTAATGCCAAACATGGCAGAAATTTAATCATATTCATGGAATAAAAAACATGATACTCCTATTTTGGAATTTCAAAACTTTTTTACTCCTATTTAGGGAATTCTCTCTAGTATAAATGGTCTTCTACATAGTTTCTCTACTAAGCATCATTGTTATGAACCCGATTTTAAAGAATTCATAGAGAAGCTTCTTAATTATTTTCATGTCCTCTAATTTACTTTATTATGCGCCTCGAAATATATTTTTTAATATTCCTCATTCAACTTGGTATGAATTATGAAATATGGAGTACATACTTTAATAGTAAAATTTTACGTTTTACTTATTATTTCATCACACTGAAATCGTCATTAATAAGGATGTTTTTAATTGAATTAAAATTTTCGGGTTTGATTTGGTCTAAAGGAATATAATCTGGTAGATTTCCGTTTTACATTTTATGTGTCCAATTATTATTAAAGTTTGATCTGATCTGATCTGATTTAATCTGAGACTGAAATCAATCTAATTAAAAACATCTTAAGAGTAAACAAAATTAGGAATTTGTAAACATATAAAGATTTCCTAATTTAGATTAGGAATCGATCTATTTCAAAAGTGAAAGAATCTAGAGTCATTTGTTTCCATATCAATATGCAATCAAAAATAGAATCCAATAAAAGTAAAAGGTATGAAGTATAAAAATAACTAAACAATTGTTATATATGATGAATGACATGTCATGATTATGTGACATTTTGTGTGCTCTTAAAAAGTTCCTTATATATATATATATATATATATATATATATATATATATATATATATATATATATATATATATATATATATATATATATTGATTAATTTCAAATTGAGATGTAAACAAATTCTTTACGATAATGATGATTAATTCCTAATTGTTAAAATATAACTTGTTTGATAACATTCAATGTGATTCATTCATTGTAATTTACACTTCCATGGACAATTTTACTTGGTGTTCATAATAGAATTTATTAAACTTTTATTAATTTCCTCTCATTTTATAACATGTTATCAATCCGAGTTTGCTCCAAATCCCTGAAAACATCTTCTTCTCGACATACATGGAGTTAACTAAAGTTGCTTCAATTTGTTTTGAACAATGTTTGAGAGATTATTTTTCTGATATGATATTAGTTTTAATTAATGTCAATAGAATTCCAAGTGTTGCTAAATTCATTAAATGGTCTTGAATGATCTACGTTCTTTAAAAGGACAAAGTTAATAATAGAAGACTTATTAAACTCTAGTAAATAACAGAGATATTTACTGAGTTTTAAAAATATGCGCCTAAAAAATTATCATATTGACACCATGTTTCAAAATCAAAATGTATACTTACTTTTCATGACAAATACATCTGGCAATAAATACATACACATGGATCGTATTATACATATATGAGTTCAATTGAGATTAATGTGGAATTTAAGAAAATGAATCAATGATTAAAATACTTTTATTTTGTGGCATGACTCTTCTCACATATGATCTTAACAAAGAAGGAGGAGTTGCTATCAGACAAATCAAATCCTAGGATAGTCCTGCTGATTTGTTCACAAAATCACCCTCGAAAAATGTGAAGAACTTGTACACACGATTATTGGAATGTGTCATCTTCGAGATGTATGCTAAATTTATGGAGCGTATTATATGCACTGCACTCTTTTTTCATTCGTTAATGTTTTTATTTCACTTGATTTTTCCTGACAAGGTTTTTAACGAGATAGAGACAATACGTTCTAATAACGTGAAATTAAATGTTGTACTCTTTTTTCCATTAATTGTAATTTTTTATCATATTGTGATTTTCCATAGTAGGATTCTTAACGAGACAACTATACTTTGGATAATTAGAAGATGCACACTCAAGACAGAGTGTTGTAATGTAAATGGATTAGTCATCGTCTTACTATTTATGGTGAGAAACTTAGAAAGACATATCCATCATTATCAGAATAAATATGGAATTATAATTGTGATTTCAAGATGAAAATTAGGTGGTTTACGAGTAGTTCATAACATTGAAGATATTACATTTTCTCATGTAAATGTGTATTCTCATTCATTGTAATTTACTACGGATCCAAGAATGTAAAAACTTTACTTAGTGTTCAAATATAATCTCTCTCCCTAAACTTGTTTTAATTTCCCCCCATTGCAAAACACTAATAACATTCAAGCTAGGGAATTTTCAGCAAACGTGTCATTTATTTCAAATAATACTTCATTACATTTTACAGTAAAATTTAAATAATCCATATGTTCTTTGTTCTTTATTAAGTGTGCTATTAGGGTTTTCATTGCATTTTTTATCTTTTTGGTGCTTTTCTTTTGTTCAATTTTCCCTTTTTCTTTCCCACTTGTACTTTTCTTTAGTTTCTTCAATAAATTTTCTTTTCTAAAAAATGAAATGTTAGGAAGGAATTGTATTAAGAAAAATAACTAAGTGAGTGGACGAAAAAAATAATAAAAAGTAGAAAAGAGAATATATTAATAAAGTGAGTGTAATAAAAGTGAGGGCATAAATGTATTTTTATAAAAAGCTTACCAAAGAGAAAAGGGAATAATAAAAAACATTCATTGAATTTCATTATTGGTGAGCCACATCCCCCAAAGTTGCCACAAAATCTTGTTCCAAAAATTCATTGAAAGGAGTCACTACACTTTTGGAACCCCAACAGACAATCATGACCGTTGTCATCCACACAGCCAAAATAGAAAATTGACATGCTAGTACTAGTATTCTAGTAAATAAATTTATTATATACAAAGTACTGTCTAAGACTAATTTGAATCAAATTTTTACACTTTTAAATGTGAAATTGTGTTAATAACACAAGAAAATATCCAATTACGAAATATCTAAGAAAGAACAAAAATTTGAACATTAAAAACAAATCTATAACAGAATTTAGAGAATAAAATCTAAATTAAATTTTCAATTCTCTATTATATATTATGAACATTTTAGATCAAACAACTATACCTCCTCTGTTTTTACATTGTATTGTCATGCAAAAGGGTAAAAACTGCAATACAAAAGTGGACAATTGGGAGCTATAGATTGGATAAGAAGTTCCAAGTTGGATATGTTAAGGGTATTTGGGCAATATGAAGAAAAACGAGAGTTTATCTTCACATCTCTATTTGTGAATGAAGTTTGATTTTACATCATATTTATATAAAAATCAATGTATTCATTCATGGCTTAAAAATGTGTCTAAGGAATAAAATATAAACACTTTTAAATTTCATCATAATACTCATTAAATTTTTGGAAAAAGGATACAAAATACAAGTCAAGTGAGTATAAAGTTTAACCCCCCATTAAAAATAAAGAATAAATTTCACTTTTGATTCTATAAATATCATATCAATTACATAATTGATTCACATCTTTGATTTTGACCATCTTTGATATGTAACTATTGTTTTTCGTTCATATATGTTCCCTTTTTAATGTTTTAAATGATTAAAATTGCTCAAAAATGATCACAAATGATCAATAAACATTAATTAAGTATCAAAAGTAAATAAAATAAAAAACTTAAAACTTTCTTTTGAAAGGAATTAAAAACTTAAAACTTGTAAAACCAAAATACCTAATCCTCCGTAAATGTTCTCACACAATTTCAACAATATTGCATCTTTAGACTCATGTAACACCCTAGCTACCAGACTACCAGAGCACGATTTGTGCAAATAATGGGTGGAAAAGAGTCCAGGATTCAGATTGGCTATTTCAAACACAAAAAGCTGTGAAGAAAAGGTTCACTTGTGAGCCCAAAAAGCTCAGGAAACGAAGAAGGAAGCAACTTCGTTACCAGAAGCCTCGACTGGGGCATCGTAAATGGCGGGCACCTCTTCTACAACTGCTGCTGCAATGAATTTGGGCAGAGGCTTCGGCTTTGTTTCTCTTTCCTCTTCCCCTCGCACTCGCTCAATCCTTCACTTCCACAACCTTTCAGCTTCTCCCAATAGCAGCTCCAACATCGGGTTCTACGCAACCACATCTAGATTCTCAAATCACCTTCCAAGAAAACCTGGCCCGACCCAGATTCGAGCGGTTTCGGGTTCTTTCGGGTCCCGGCTGGAGGAGACTGTCAAGAGGACTGTCGCTGACAATCCCGTCGTTGTCTACTCAAAAACTTGGTGCTCGTAAGTCACAAAGTTCGTTCCTTTGACTGCCATTTGTATAAATTTCTTTCAGATATCACTATTTCATTTGAATCGGTTAACTGAATCTAGAGTTCTTTATTTTCCGGTGAAGGTATTCATCCGAGGTGAAGTCTTTGTTTAAGAGGCTTGGCGTGGAGCCTCTTGTTATTGAATTGGATGAGATGGGTAAATTTTGACCTCTGCCTTTCCATTTCCAGTTTTGTTTATAGTACTATCAGCAATCTGCAGGCATTGTGTATTAATCAACAAGGCCTGTTTGTTCAATATATTGTTTCCTAGGAAATTGGGAATGCAGCTTTAAGAAATCCATGAATTTCATTGTAATGACTCTTATTATACTCTCTCCATTCCAAAATTAAGCTCGCAGTTTGACCTTTACAGCGTCAATGTCATTATTGGACCTTTATATTCTAAAACAACACTTTTAAAATCTAAAATATATTGATATGTAAATATAAAACAAAATTGTTCAAGAGTATTGTGTACATCCTTGAATAATGAATGGTCAAAGTTAATAAACATTGACTCCAAAAGTTAATAATGCGATGAATGGAGTATAGCAGTGTGAAAGTTCATGATCACACTGTTTTGTTTTATTGATTGGTCATTTTAGTTTAGAAAGGTGGTAATTGTTTTTTTACTCAAATAGAAAGTTATGCCCCCCCACTACGCCATTCATGATGTAAGGAAAGTTAATAATGTACTTTTATTGGTTCAACTTACATATCTGCCCCTTTCAGGACCTCAAGGACCTCAATTGCAAAAGGTTCTGGAAAGGCTTACAGGGCAGCATACTGTCCCAAATGTGTTCATTGGTAAGAAGTGTATAAATATAATATAGTTCTTTGAAGTTTTATAAGATCATACATTTGTTTCAAAGTATTACCTCTTGTGTTTCGACTTCAGATTGAGGTAAAATAAGAAAGGACAGTAAATAAGTTTATTTTTAATATTCAAATTATTAGTTTTTAGGGAGTTAAAGTTACAATGTGATAAATTTGCACTTACCGTTGGTCCTAAACTGTTGGGAACAAGATATATATTTCCAGTCCTTGTATATAAACTTGAAATATTTAGTGACTGACACAATCTGATCGCTAACACTTGTATTTAATCAAATGGAAATGAGTCTAGTGCTCGGATTCCACTAAGAACTTAGGTCAGGAGTACCTTTGTTTGCAGTCCATTGCTCTCTTCTTATACAAAAATCTGATCCTTAGGCCATCCATTTTGGTATTTACCATTGGTTAGCCTGACGAGGGGAGCATGCGTTGTGCTTTCATTTGCTAATGCATGATCGTATGCGCGCACATTCTCCTTTATCGTTGGGGGGCGTGGCCTGACTCGATGTACGATTGCGCCACCTGTAGACAGTGTTCCCGTGTATTTTGTTGGCCTCATGCAGGCAGCTAATAATCTTCTAGATCCTTCCCACGGGTGCTCTTTCTTTGGCTTGTTGTGTTGGTTCCCTGGGCTGAGTCAGGCCTGGTTATTGTGTTGCACCTATTCATGGGTATTGGGCCTATTCAGATGTAACCGTCATAATAAATTTATTTTTGGCCCATTTTAAGCTGAGTCAACCCCACACTGTTTTTAGTGTTGTTGACTTGTTGGTAAAAATATTATGCAAAAGTTTAGTAATTTTCCTAACCAATGTTTGTTCTTATTCTTGACCAGGGGGGAATCACATTGGAGGTTGTACAGGTAATTTCGCTGTTACATGCCATTCATTTTTATCATTAACTCTCCCCTGGAAAAAACATGCATTGACCCTCTTTCAGTTTCTGCATCATTGTCCTCATAAATCATAATAATGCCATGGGTTTGGGAGTCAACAAATTTGAGTTTGTTTATTGACTAAAGTAGAGTCTAGAAGGACGATGCAGGTTAAAGAGTGAGTTTTTAAACATAGGATGTTTTTACTTGGACTGTAATTTGCTGGTTTGGTCTGTTTAAGTATGATCTGGTAAACGTCCGATCTCTGTGTATTTTGGAACTACGGAAGTCAAGTCTGGTATGTTTAAGTTTAGTCTGGTTTGATCTGGTTTGTTCAAGTCTAGTTTGAGACTGAAAACAGTCCAAGTAAAAACATCCATAGCCAAAAATCACTCCATTGATGTTTGGCTAAGCATCAAATATATATATGATTTTTTATGAGTATATATTAGTACTAGTGGCAAAGTCCATTCTTGAATATGCTCAATAGTCCACACTATCTTAGTGCATCCTGTAAACAAAGTTCTACCCACACTTGAATGAAATTAGTTCCACGAGTGTATACGTAATCCACAACTCCACACGTCTTACAGTCTTTTAGCACTTGTATGGTCGTAGAATTTTGGAGAGAAAACTAAAAGAGATGTTTGTGTTTGGATTGGCAAGCTTTAAAAGTACTCCAAACTTATATCTCTCTCCCACTCTCCCAATTTGGATGATTTCGGGGAGATTTTGTTTTTCATTTTCTTTGTTCGATAACTTTTAGAACAAAAACCAATCTACTTCATACATTATTAATGTTATACATGCAGTTTAATGTCATATTAGTTCAAACAAAAACAGATCAAATACAGTACTTTTGCATATTTGTCCGAAAAACTAAATACTAGATAGTATGTAGTACAGAGTAATTCTTTCCTACTCCTAAAACCAAACATAACCTTTTTCTTTTTTCCCGCCTTCCCTTCCCTTCCCTTCCCTATTCTCTTCTCCCCTTTTTGAACCAGAATAAGGCTTAATTATGCTATATATACGTAATACAGTTAAAGGCACCAAAGTCTTGTGATATACAAATATGTGTATTGGTCCCTATGATTTAAAAAATGTGTTACCCCCCTTGTGTTATCCTGCAACAACAAATTTAGCAGTCTAAAGATCGTGCGTCGTAGTGGAGTGCACGTAAATTTGTCAAGATACCTAATTTTACAAAAAAAATTATAACATTTTTGTTTTATTCGACAGTTAAGTTTCTTCTTCTAGCTTATTAGGTGCATGAGGTGCAAAATTTGTATTTAACGAAGGGAGGAGTTTGGTGCATTAAATCCCACTTAATACATCAGAAGCACTTAGTGCATTCATGGATTCACATAAAAAGACTAGACATGATGTACCTATGCTCGTAAACGTTATGCTTCATGTACTCATGATTTTATAGCTTCATATTGATTATTTAGGATACATCCCACTCTTTGTTATCATTTGTGACAAGCTTCTGAAGTGTTGAAAGGGCAAGCTTTAGAAGTACTTCAACCTCATATGCCACTCTCACTCCCCATATTTGGATGATTTTGGGAAGAACTGATTTTCTTTTTCTCATGTCCATCAACTTTTTAGAACAAAAACCATTCTATTCCATGCATTATTAATGTTACACATGTAGTTTAGTGTTATTTTAGTTACAACTTACAACAAAAAACACATCAAATACAATATATTGACATATTTGTCCAGAGTACTAATTCTTTCCCACTCATAAAACCAAACATAATATTTTTCTTTTCTTCTCACCTTTTTTCCTTCCCTCCCGGCCCCTCTTTCTCCTCCGTTCATTGAACCAAATAAGGGTTTAATTATGCTACATATACTTAAGATGGGTTTGATGTGCCAAATTCCCTGTGAGATATAAATTCTGCACATGAACCCTTCTTGATTAAAAATGTGTTAAGCCTCCATGTGCTACTATGAAATGAAAAATTAATTAGTCAAGAAATCACGTGTCTTAGTGTAATGATTGAGTTCAAGATACCTAAGTTATACAAAAATACTGCACTTATTTTTTTATGAGCAAATATGTACATCACGAAAAAGTAAGCGCATTAAACCCCTATTTAATACTTCAGAAGCACTTGCATTTATAGATTCACATAAAAGGTGAGACATGATGAATCTATGCTCCAAGAGGCTATGTTTCTTGTACTCATCGCCTATAGTTTCTTATTGATTATTTAGAATACACCCAAAATAAATTGTTCCAAATGGGACTAAAACATACGCAAAGTGCACAAATAGGCTCAACTATTTTGTTTTCCCAAAGTAGGACTTGTTTGATCATATTTAAAGTATAAAGATTTCCCAATTAGGAGTAAATGAGTTCTATTTTAGGAAGAAAATAATGGTGATCCTGTTTGTGCACCTTTTCTCTACATCCAACTCTTTGTTATCATTTGCGACACATAATAGTCTCTGAAGTGTGTAAGGTGTTCATTAGAACATTCTTTGCAGCCCGGAAATTGGAACACTATCCAACTCGGTTAAGGAATGTGTTGAACTGTTGGAGTATGAGACTTTTTCATAGAAGCAACCTGATTATTTCAGATTGTTCTAGAGAATCTTTACTAAGTCTGTCCAATTACTAAGTCTCCTAGACTTATTAATTAGAGTCTTAAGATATTCCTAGAGGTCTAGAATAATCTATCTAAGCTATAAATAAGGTGCTGAAAATCAGTTTTATGCATCAAACAATTCTCACACATCTCCAATTCTTCCCTGCTTTTATACTACAATCCTACAGAATGAAACCCCATTTAATAAATATAACATACATTGTACGAAGTATAAAACATTGAGCTCATCATGCTAAAAAGCATTCAGCCCATCATTTTAATGAACTCAACTTTTTAGGATGGAATATCATGCTTTGATGTGCATCTAAACAATTCATTGAGTGGTGAATAGAATTGTTAAACCTTGAATGCAAACTTGAATGAGGGAATGCTAATCTTCATTCTTTTTTGTTTTATTTTGTGGTTACAGAAACTGTGAAGCTGCACCGAAAAGGAGAACTTGAACCATTGCTCTCTGAAGCTTCTAATTCCAGAAAAGTGGAGAGCTAATCCGTCCATAGCTAATCCTATTCAAACCATCCTTGCATGTATGCTGATTAATTTGCTTATTGGACCTGATCGCGTCATTACCCTGCACCTCTGCCCATTAGTTTTCATAATTAAGCATCCTTTTATTGTTTTTACAGTGAATAAATATATTGTTTACCCCGTGAATCCAAAAGGGGATATATTTATTCTTTTCCTTTCTTTTTGGTTTACGCGCCTCTGCTAACTACTATGCCTCACTTCCCTCCGCTATCCAAATAAGAAATGGAGCTCTGTACTGATTTAGGGAGATTAATTGCTAATTAGGGTGTATATCTTTTGGATGTATATAATTAGAAAAAGTGGTTAGTGGTGAGTTAGTGTTTTAAAAAATTTATTTTAAAATTTGTTTCATTGTAATTTTTCAAGAACTGAATTTTTTAATTTTTTTTACTAATAGAGAATTAAATATACTTTTGATCAAAGTTATGCATCGCCAAACATAAATAGTGAACTGTTGCACGTATTTAAGAACGTAAGAAATATAAAATACTCCGTACCAAATAGACATTCTTATCTTATATCGTCCTTGACTTTTGTTGTCTAAATGTCTAATGAATATAATAATAGCTATTACTATCATCTTATAATTTAATGCTACACATTATTCTTTGATAGGTATATTTTATAAAGTATTATAATAAATACCATAATTTCCTTCCGTCCAATTAGACATTGCCAACTTTCCCTTTTTTATTGTCCCAAAAAACTCTGTCACGTTTTCATTAAAGTAACTATTGTGTGGTTTGTTCATTTCTCTCTCCTTTGCAAAAAATTTAACTACACAATTTTTACTATTTTTATTTCTCTTCTAATTCAAAGTCCGTAAATTCCATTGGGATGTAGGTAGTATAATTGATCATTATAATTTCTTAATACATCTAATGATTCTCATCCAAAAGTGGAAACATTTACTCTATAATATCTTCCTTCATTTATCAGTGTTAAAATTTATCTAGAAAACAAAAAACAGTATTAACCAATACAATTTTCATAAATGACGAAAATGGTAATACTTTTTTTGACATAACGAAATCGGTAATACTATTAGTATTTAAGAAACATGAAAATATTGTTTTTCATTTGTAGTTATGTATGTGGGGGCAGTGGGGCCTGTGATTTATACAATATGTTTACATTTAAAAAATATCCTTAACAATTACCCTTTCAAAATTTACACAATTAAATTCAAATATTGTTTTTCATTTCCAGTTATGTATGTGGGTTATATATGAAAATGAATACTTTTAATTTCTTAACATTTTTGAATAATTAATATGTTTTCATAAAGATGGTTATTTAGTACCATAAAGTTAAAACTTGGTTCAACAAAATATAATTCTATGGTTGTAGTTCACTACCTATTTTATAAATAAATTTAGTAAGTATAGAATTTTGTCAATTATTCACATATGAGCACCTTTGCTCACACATAGCTTCTTGTACGCACTTATTTGTACACACGTCATTTATAAACAAACTAAATGATGTGTGTACAAATAAGTGCGTAGAAACAGGTTTTTTCATTTAAAATACAAAAATGATGTTTTGTGGTATGTGGACTACATATATTTTTACTTGGACTGTTTTTAGTCCCAGATCAGATCATACTTAAATAGATCAGACTAGATCAGACTTAAATAGACTAGATCAGACCAAACTTGACTTTCACAGTTATAAAATACATAGATATCAGACGTTTATCAGATCAGATCAGTTAAACAGATCAAATCAGACAGACAGGTTTGATCTGTTTAGAGTAGAGACCAGCACATTACATTCCTACGTGGTACTATGCTGATCACCCGTATGACCGTATCAGCCGAAAAGATGGATGTACCAGAATTTTGAACTCGCTTAGAGCATTTTTATGCTAATCGCCGAAACCGCATTTGGAAAGTTTTTATCCGGATATCAGGAAATGGCCGCCCTCGTCGCGCACTGTCACTATATTGTCACAAATGCTGACGGGAAAATTCTCCATCTTTACCGCCAATTCAGTAGCCGTAAGTTGAGCTCCGGCGGTACAACCGTCTCTGGCATAACCCTACGACGCCGTGTGGTTTGAAGGAATTCCTATGTTACCTGTTTCGCCTCCAACAAATCTGCTCAATCATCCGAAATTAGGTTCTCTCGCTCTCAACTAATATTGAGTATCTTCGGCAAATTTTCATATTTTCAGCTTATGTAGGCTAACTAGCTTTGTTTCCTTGCCGATAACTTAAGCATTTCATTAGCAGGTGTCAAGCACGTAAAACCGTAGCACTGAATAAAAGTTTCGATATGTTATAGGGAGTATTTTTTTTTAATTATATGAAGAATGTTTGATCAGGTGATAGCTAATACAGTTTTTATATGTATTTCGGCCTATTTATTTATTTTTTCACTAGGTTCTTTAGTTCTTAATCTCATTTCAAGTAAGAAATAGAAATTGTGTACTTGTATTATCTTCTGAACATTTTTTTTGTTAATCCTTGTTTTAAAATGTGAATGATTAGTTTTACATCGTTTTGGCTCCAGTATTAGCATTTTTTTAAATGATAGAATTTAAAAGTTCTATTACATTTATGCTGCTGACATTAGTTATTTTTCTAAATGGAGATGGTTTGAGAGTTATAAGGGATTAAAAAAGACATTACAGGTATGAAAAATATAAATAAATATTATACAAGGATCTATAACAAAATGTGTCATATTTGCTTGAATTAAAACGTATTTAAGCCTATTTGCTAATACGGAGTATGAAACATCAATGTGCCCATCATGATTTAATTTTTAATTTAGTTCTACTGCCAAGATAAGAAGTGAAGTCCTTTCTCCATTTCGGTCGGTTCGTATGTTCTTCTATCTGGCTTTTGCGGCAAGCGGGGCTCTTGGAGGATTTATAGCCACAACACGGCTCATAGCAGCACTGGCAAATTCGTCAAGGGCTGCAGAACTTCCTGAGATCTTGCAAGGTCTTGCCATAGATATTGGAGCAGCATCCCTATTTGCTTTTCTGTATTACCGGGAGAATAGATCTAAAAACGCCCAACTACTTAAGCTCTCAAGAGAAGAAAGCCTCTCAAATCTAAAACTTCGTGTGAATGAGACTAAAATCCTTCCTGTTAGTGATTTTAGAGGAATTGCTCGTCTGGTCATTCTTGCTGGTTCTTCATCTTTCATCTCTGAGTGTTTTAAACTCAGTGAACCATTTACTGACTCCCTTGTAGAAAGAGGGGTGCTTGTTGTTCCATTTGCTAGTGATGCAAACTTGCCAAATTTTGAGTTTGATGAGAATGAACAGATGAAGGAAAAGAATGCCAGGAGAAAAAGGCTATGGCAGCTTTCTCCTGTTTATGTAACTAACTGGACCAAGTAAGTTACTTCTGAGATAAAGGAGGTAGTGCCAGCAAAACAAAAATAATAATCTTACTCCTCATTTTTTATTGCAGATGGATTGATGAACAAAAAAACCTGGCTAATATCTCCCCTGAATCTCCTGTGTGAGTGATCTGCATTTCTAGGCTGATTTTCCTCTTCATCTACAATGACATTTACTTGTTTTAATTGAAAAATAAATAAATATACTCATAAATGCTGCATTGTTTTTTCTTTTTATTTAGAATGTTGTCATAATAAAATTTCAAATAGCTCTATATCTTTTAGTAGCATACATTGAATCAGGAAATTTGCTCTTATAATGTCGTTGTTTGAATTCGCTTGAGTAGCATATTTGTGGTCCTTAATAGTTCTGGAAAAAGCTAAAGTTGCGGCATTACAAATTCTGGTGTGCATAGGTATCTTTCGCTACGCATGGATGGTCGTGTTCATGGCAGTGGTGTCGGATACCCTCCTTGGAATTCTTTTGTACTTCAACTTCCACCTGTAAAGGGGATGTGGTCTGGTTTGCTCGATGGCATGGATGGAAGAGTTCTTTGAACAGTGTATTTTTTCTGCATTATGAGCATGGATAGGTCAAACATCACTTAGTGTTAATAGAATATTTTCTGTTCTGGTGTTTACCTACCATCCCATTTTGTTATTTCTTTGTGAAATGCGAAATCTATAGGAGAGGGCATTCATGCTGCTGTGGTTAGAGAGAATTTCTAAAATAGGACTAAATCATGACACATGAGAACCATTTTCTCTCTCAAAATGATTCATTCACTCCTAAAATAATAAGTTTTTCAGTAATTTTATTTTTTCATGAGAACGAAATGGGTCTACTTTGGGATTAAACGATAATACTCCTATCTATACACTTCACTCATGTTTTTCTCCTGTTTGTAGCAATTTCTTTTGCTGGTTACCACCTGGATAGTAATATGTACTCATTCTTACCAACCTGGATGAATTGATTATTTTTATACAATTTCTGCACTGCTTTTGCGCTTTATGTTTTTCGTAAATCTACCACATCATATTAGTGATAGTATGAGTATTTGTACCATATTCTAACACATTGTTGTCCTTGATACTGTCGTTGCCAGCGGCTCAGCAGAGATTGAAATTTTGAACAACCACAAAAGACGCAGTGCATTGAATATTTCATTCAGCATGTGAAACTGCTATTGTATCAGGTGCCACATTTTAACTTGGTTGTAATCAACTAATCATGCAGGTAAATTTGGCTGAATTTGTTGATATTGAGGCTAAATGATGAGTTACAGAAATCCAAAAAGGCTTTCAATATGTACATTTGTGTAAACTAAAGGAAATACGTAGTAATATCTAGCACATGATAATAGTAAGTTAGTAGCGTACTTTGTTTTCATTTGAGCCCAAAAGTAACTTATACTCTTTTTTTCTCTTCTTCCTTGTATTATTTACCAGTACAATTAATGTTGTCAAATACGGAGTACTGTTTTTTGGAAATAAATCTCCTCATATCATTAATCAAGCATATCGTTCGTCAAATGGCTTACAAGAAAATAAGGAATAACATCATAGCTACAATCCTGGTCCGAGATTAAAACGTCTTGCCTAGCCAAAGCATGGGCAACTCGATTCGGAGACCGTTTACAAAAATAGACTAAAATTTCTCTTTGTTTCCAACAAAACCCGGATGTCGTCGATAACAATGTCGATATAAAAAGACAATCCCTTTTCACCTAAAACACCTTGAACCACGGTTAGAGCATCAGATTCAAATTCAACTCAATCCCATCCTTCCCAAAGTGCTCCTGATATAGCCTCCCTGATTCCAACTGCCTCTGTTTCAGCCAGTGTCGAATCTGCCTTCTTAGACACATTAAAAGCCTTAATAAAACTGCCTTGGTCATTCCGAGCAATCCAACCCCACGCTCTAATTCCTCCACACTGCATTTGCTATTACTGGAAACTGTCCAGCTACCTTTTTACTATGTTGAGCTTCCTCCCAGCTGCCCAACAAACTTTCTGAGCTTCGTAGTACCGCTGCAGCACCCTGAAACTCGTTCTTCCACACTGCCATGTTCCTCCGCTTCCATAGACTCCAAATAACCACCATAAACCTGCACCAGCTCTCCCCCCTGCGTTTTCCAAAACTGCCCGCACCCAACCTTCAAAAATGTCCGCTGGCGGACTGAATGAGCACCTGCTAGCTGCCAAACAGCCTGTGCTTCAGGGCATAGACGAAATATGTGGTCAGCCGACGCCTCTTCACCGCTACACAGTTTGCACTCCACTGCACCTGCACTCCACGCCTGCGCAAATTGACCAACGTGGGTAGGGACCCGTCCATAACCTGCCAGCAAAGATATTTAACTTTAGGCGGGATTTTTAAACCCCACATCCGGGTCCAACCTTTCCAGGCCGACCATAGCCCCAACTATCATCTTATAACAGCTCCTAACCAAAGTCACATGGATCGCGGTACGCTTCGGTACGCGGTACGAAAACGGGAACACGGATTGCCAAAATTAGAAATCCGATACGTAGGGGGTAGGCTTCTTCGGTATGCGATTTCGGTACGTGGTTCACTATACCCTTTGTTTATGGTACGGTGAACCATAAACATAATTAATACAAGTATAATATTAAACAATTAACTTCTATAACTTCAATAACATTAAACAAACTTAACCATGTTTGCAACAACAATAAAATAATACTGAGGCAAAGTGAAGCACTGGAGTAGTAGACTCAGTAGACTAAGTAGTAGAGAAGAGGTGCAGAGAGTTTGATATGCTGAGTACTGAGGTAAGGCCTTAAATACTGAACTGTGAGTTGAACTTGCGTCGTTTCAAGTGCGTCATTTTGAATGAACAGAAGTGTGAAAGTCTGGAAATACAACCGAACAAGTGCGTCGTATCATCCTCCAAGGTCGCCGACCGTTGTTCCGAAGAAATTGCTGGAAGCTTTGAGTGGCCTGAGTTGTTTGCAACTTCAGGTCTCCTGCGTCGTTTAGCATGCCAGAACGAGTGCAGGAAGATGAAGCCTTCGAACCAACATCGCGCAATACGCGAACTACCCAATCGCAGTCGTGAACCAAACGCGTACTGTACGCGATTGTACCGCGATCCGGTACGCGCAATCCGGATCGGAAATCACGGGTGGTTTTGCGATCCCGGTACCTATGATCCTAACAGAGAAATGCCCGCTTCTCTCACTCGACCACCAAACCTCATCCTTTTTATCCTGTGAACTAACCGGGATACTCAAGATCTTCCTACACTCATCCGGTGTAAACAACAAACTCACTCTCCCCACATTCCACTGCTTTCCTTCCTCATCTTGTGATGCTGCAACATTCATATCAAATATCCCAGAAGGTTTACTCGACTGTACTCGTCCCGAGCCCGCCCCCGGAAGCCACACATTAGTCCATACCTGAGATCTTTCCCATTCCCGACTCTTATACGAATATCCCCATTCACCACTTGTTGAGCTTCCATTCTACTACGCCACACATAAGATGGATTACTACCCATTTGAGCTTCTAAAAAAGAGGAGTTCGGAAAATACCGAACTTTAAAAACCCGGCTCATCAAACTCTTTGATTCTGTAGTAAGCCTCCAAGCTTGCTTCGCTAGCATTGCAATATTAAAATCTCTTATCCTCCTAAAACCCAAACCTCTTTCAATTCTTGGTCTGCACAAGCTGCCCCAACTTCTCCATATTAGTCCTCTTTGGTCAAATTTCATCCCTTTCCATCAGTAGCCATTCATAAATTTCTCGATCTCCTCACAAAGCCCCCGAGGAAGAAGAAAAACATTCATTGCATAGGTAGGCATTGCTTGAATAACATTTTTTAATATAACTGTCCGTCCAGCCCGAGAAAGAAATCTATTATTCCAACTTTCAATACGACTAACATTTCCCTCCCTCAAATATTTCACTATCGATTTTTTATTCCTCCCTATCAAAGCCGGTAATCCCAAATACCGCGATGCATTATTATCACACACCACTCCCAAACAATTGCAAAAATAATCCTTACTGGCAGCCTCTACGTTAGGACTAAACATAACACTGGATTTATTAAAATTTACCTACTGCCCCGACATTAAAGCATACTCTTCCAGAATTCGTTTAATAGCATCACACTCCTGCCTGGTAGTTCTGAAAAAAAGAAAACTATCGTCTGGAAAGAGGAGATGGGAAACTCATGGAGCTCCTTTACATACAGCACGCCATGAACATCCGCTTTCCTTTCCGCCCGTCTCAGCAATGCACTCAACCCTTCCACCACCAGCATAAAAAGATATAGAGATAGTGGGTCCCCTTGACGCAACCCTCGTGCCGGAGTAATTGGCCCAAGAGAGTCTCTATCAAACTGAATAAAGTACTTAACCATTGAGACACATTCCATTATAATATGAATCCACCTCATATTAAAACCCATTTGGTGCATAATCTTGCTCATAAAACCCCAATCCACCCGATTATACGCCTTGCTCATATCAAGCTTTAAGGTAGCAAAACCTTCCTCCCATACCTCTTCCTCTTTAGAAAATGTTGGGTTTCAAAAGCCACTATGATATTGTTAACAATCGATCTTCCTGGTATAAAAGCACTTTGATTTGCTCCAACCAGAGAATCCAAAACACCCTTCAAACAATTGGCCAACACTTTTGAAAAAATCTTATAAATAACACTGCACAACGCAATTGATCTCCAGTCACCCATATTCATCGGTTCATCTTTTTTGGGATCAAAATAATATTAATCACATTTAATTCGTTAGGCAACCTACCCGAATAAAAAATATTTGAATATAACCGACTGACATCTGACCCTATAATATCCCAATAAGCTTGAAAAAACGCAGGGTTCATACCATCAACTCCCGGGGCTTTATCTGGATACGTGCCAAACACAGCTGCTTTAACCTCCTCCAATTGAATCGGCCTAAGAAGCTTACTGTTCTGTGCATGAGAAACCCAAGAAAATCCATCAATGCCAGCCTACTGTCGCACTAGCTGAGTACAAATTCTCAAAATAGTTCCTCGCTATCCCCTCCATTTCTATTTTCCCGGTAACCCAATTACCATTTGAATCGGTTAAACCCATTATTTTATTACACCGACACCTTTGTTTCACTGCGTTATGAAAAACCAAGAATTCATATCCTCTCCTTGAAGCCAAAAAACTTTGGCCCTCTACCGCCAATCGCCAGAACACATTATCTTTTTCCATTAATGTCAATAGCGATGCTCGGACATGTATAAACTCCGTGCTACTCCTCTGGTCAGTCCTCCCCCTTAACCACACAAGACGTCTTTTCAAACCCTCTATCTGGGTCCTAAAACCCCTCTTCCTCTTGCAATCCCATTTTGAATTTCCCTCCCACAAAAAGAGATCCTGTCACTTATGGTGAATGTGCTTGCTGCCCGCCAACTGTTACCCACAATCACTCGACATTCATCCTCACTAAGCCAGTGGTTCACGAATTTAAATTGCCTCCTCCTGCGAATGTTATCTGTACGCCGAAGTATAATTTTCAACGCCATGTGATCGCTAGCCGGGGCTTCCACAGACGTCGCATACGCCCCATTAAAAAAGTTCCACCAATCATCATTTACCAATATTCTGTCTAGCTTCTCCTCCACCCAAGCCCCGATTCCTTGGCCCCGTTCCCATGTCCACCGGTAGCCTTCAAAGCGGAAATTCCACAAGCTGCTTTCTTGTATAGCCTCTCGAAAGCCACGTAACTTCCATTCCGGATGAGGAATACACCCTCTTTTCTCTTCAGGGTACACAAGACCATTAAAATCTCCAATTATCAGCCATGGTAAAGAAGAACTTCCAGCTAGTTGTTTCAACAACTCCCATGCTTCTCTCCTGCGCCTAGTTTCTGGGTATCCATAGAAACCCGTCATCCTCCATGCTCTGTAGTATGTCCCCCATCAGCGAGCTAACCTTGCAATCTATAAAGTTCCGCTGTGAATCCACAATCTGCACGTCAACCTCATCATTCCATCCCAAAACCAATCCGCCACTCTGCCCTTCACAATCTATGCCAAAACTGTTCTGGAAGCCTTGCGTCTGCAGAATTTATTTGGCCCTTAAGCAGCATACCTTAGTCTCCATCAGGAATAGAATTGACGGTCTGTTCTCCCCGATAACATCAGACAACACCTGTACAGTGGCTAGATTTCCCACCCCTCTGCAGTTCCAACTTATAATGCTCATGATAATCCAATCAAACTGTTCCGCCTTGCGAGCCTGCGAACCCAAGAGAGCCTGCTAGGATAAGCCTAGACCCAAAAAACGCCGAGCAGGACTACGTCCGCCGGAAAAATAAACTAGGAGAAACCCTATACCCGTCCGCCTTGAAGCTTTTAGACTAGAGTACTTGGTACTTGATAAATAAAAAATAGCAGGTAGAATTAGTCAGTCAAATTG